AAAAAAAAAAAAAAAGAAAAAGAAAAAAACATGTGTTGTGACATGTCCAAAAAGCCCAAATATGCTCTCATACTTTTCATTTCCCCTTTTTTCTTTTTAACTTCAAATTTTCACTTAATAATTTATGTCTTGAAAGCAACTTCCACCTTTCCATATTCTGTGGCTGATATGTTGTTCCTTGTGCTCTTCTCTGTGTCTGAATCTCATTGTGTAGAGGGATAATATCATTGTCACATGGAAGGCGAAATTTCAGCAGCCGTGGACGAAGGGCAGAACCGTACTTTCGCAGCATCGTCTCCCGAGATAGTTGAGATCGAAGAGGAAACTGAGGGCACGGCTGGAGGGGCAACAGATGTTTACGTGGCCGTAGGAAAAAATGACTCGCACGTAGTCAAATGGGCTCTTGACCATGCTTTGTCCCCCGGTGGCCGACTTTTCCTCGTGCACGTTTTTCCGCAAATCACGTACATATCCACGCCAGGTTCGTGTTTTTCTGCGCACATTTTTCATGTTTTCTTGAAATCTCAACTTCTGCTAATCTGTCGAAATACTCCTAGTCGGGAGGCTGTCGAGAAGCCAGCTCAGCAAAGAACAGGCACAATATTACATAAGGGAAGAGAGCAACAAGAGGAAACACATGTTAGAAAAGTACATTCAGCTCTGTAACGAGTCCAAGGTATATTTGCAAACATATGTAAAAATGAAGCAAGAGGCCAGTTTTGAGAAAAAAGGGTGAAAACTTTAATGATTTTTTTTCTTTTCCGTCCATATTTTTTGGGATTTTTTGTGTAGTGTAGGTAGCTGTGGACACAATGCTTGTCGAGAGCAATGCATCGACCAAGGCCATCTTGGAACTCATTGCCGTTGCTAATATAACCAAACTTGTCATGGGGACTAAGCAATCTCCCTTGTCGAGGTAACTCCTTTTTTTCTTTTTCTTTTTTTTTTTTTTTCATGTACGCATTGCCAACTAACATGTCTAGCCGCGTGTCGTTTTTAGTGATTAGGACGATTCTTTGTTGTGTTGAAAACTGTAAACTTGCGAACCTTACTAGGACAGAATGACAGTTATAAGATAGTCTACTCAAGGTAAGGGTCCACGATTTCCATGTCGACCCGAATGTACATGGTGTAGACTAGTCTAGTCTAGTCTAGTCGGGGTCCAAACATAATGTGGTTCATCGACAATTAGGAATGTTTGAGCATCAATATTCAAATTGCTTCATACGGGTTTACACAAATTCTGTTGTTAAACTGTCTAACCGAAAGTCTATAAGGACCTTGATTTCATTGTCGAACGGAATAGTACATCATGTAGTCCAGTCAGGATCCAACAATAATGCGACTTATCCAAAATTAGGAATTTTAGAAGCATCAATATCCAAAATGATGTAGTGGGCTTACACAAATTCTGCTGTTAGACTGCCTAACCGGAAAGCTATAAGGTTCTTGATTTCAATGTCGAACGGAATATTACATCATGTAGTCCAATCAGGATCCAATTATAATGCGACTTATCGAAATTAGGAATGTTAGAAGCATCAAGTTCCAAAATGATGTAGCGGGCTTACGCAAATTCTGTCGTTAGACTGCCTAACCGAAAAGCTATAAGGTCCTTGATTTCAGAGTCTAATGGAATGTTACATCGTGTAGTTGTAGTCGGGATTCAATTATAATGCGACTTATCGAAAATTAGGAACGTTAGAAGCATCAAAATCCAAAATGATATAATGGGTTTACACAAATTCTGCAGTTGTTAGGCTGACTATTGGAAAAATGTTATATGATGAGATCATTTTTGTAGTATTTAATGATGTCTTTATTTTTGTTTTCTATCGTAGGCTATCAAGGAAAGGCCTAGGGCTGGGAAAAGGAGAATATGTTCAAAAGTATGCACCCAAGTCTTGTGATGTTACTGTGATTTTTTATGATGGCAAAAAAATGAAGACTCGTTCTTCACAAGTCGGCCCAAATACCGAAAAGCACTTTCTTGAGTGTGTATGCTTTTCAAGCAAATCCAATCCATCAGATTAGTTAGTGGGCTGGGCTTATCTGGCGAAACTGAATAGGGTGTGGCCTATTATCAGAGGTTGTAATTGTATTTTTAATCTTTGGGATGGCCAATTCGGTGAGGTGCTGATATCCATTAATTCAAGTACATCTCTTATTTCATTTGTTGATTATATAAAATATAATTATTAATTATAATATAATAGAATATTAGTAAAAAAATATGATTGATTGTTAAAATAATAATAGTTTTTTTTTAGATAAATGTGCACCAATAGTTGATTTTTAACATAAAAGTTATATTAAATTATGTAAATGTGTAAAGAATAAAGAAAAATGAAATGCAATTGGATTTGAGTGGAAAACATTTCCATCACCCACTCGATCTATCACAATTCACATTTGAATTGTGATAAATGCAAGCTACTGTATACCTTATTTAAACATACAAATTATATAAATTACCTATATTTTGATAAGCATAAAAATTATATAGAAGTTATAGTTGACTTCTGCAAAACTAGTTCATATAATAAAAATGTTTAGTAAAATTAGTTGATAAAAAATAAAAATTTTCATTTTTTTTTTATTTTTTATTTTTTTTTTGTAAATCCACTTAATGAATCTTATGAGAAGCTATAACTTTTGAAAAAAAAAACTTCCAATTCAAAACTTATTTGAAAAAAAAAATTATAAGCTTATCAAATATAGATTAACATGTTTATCCAACACACACTGTAAGTCCTTCGGTTTTGCTATGATGCCAGCGGATGATTCATTTATTGAGTCATTCATAATTTTATGTATTAACACGTGTCTAATGTGTATTTATTACAAGACACGTGTCAATACACTATTTATAAATAAGTATAGATGACTCTATAAGCCGTACTCTGATGACTCCATAGCAAAACCGATAAATCCCTATAACCTTGAGTGATGCCTAAATCATGTTTTGCAACTCTGCGTACCTATGAAGGGCAAT